TTCTAGTTCCAGTTCTTACTCTGGTTCTAGTTTCACTCTTGTCATGACTCTAGTTCTACAATTACAATTCTGACTGTTGTAATTCTAGTTCTAGTTCTGATCTTGGTCCTAGTTTTACTGTACCCCAAGTTCTTGCTCTACATTTCCATTTCTTTTGCCGGTTGTAGTTTTAGTTGTAGTTTCAGTGGTGTACCTCAGAGAAACAGACTGGATCTTGTGGAGCTCAATATGCCTCTTGAGAACCTCCCGGATCTGACCTTTGTCTGGACCCTGTTTCACCTTCTCACGACCAATTAGGTACAGGAACTTTGGAGTCAGAATGAGGTCCCGCTTCACAGTCTGTGGAACATCAGGAACAGGGATGGTTCAGGTAAAGGAGCACCAGTTCTGATTTCAAGCAACAGTAAACTCAGTGACCGCCTAGTTTCACAAAATCTCTTATACAGATGCCATCCACCAACCAGAGGGATCGTTCTACCATTAGTTTTAGTCCTAGTTATGGTTCTTGGTCTAGATCTGAAACAAATGCAGTTCTGGAATTGGTGTTGGTCATAGCTCTGGCTCTGGCATTGAGAAATCCAAATGTGGTTCAAATCCTGTGTGAGTTGTATTTCTAGTTCTAGTTCTTGCTCTGTTTGTCACACTGGCTCTTGTTCTAGTTCTAATGCTTGACCTAGGTCTGAATCCAGTTTTAATCCTGGACACCAGGTTCAGGATAAAAACTAGTTTCAGAACTTGTTTATGTTTCTAGTTCTGGTTCATGAACTTGTCCCCTTACTAAGAACCCTGAATATGCTGGAGTTAAGATTCTGGTACTAGCTTTGTAGTTCAAGTTCTACTTTTGGCAGTGGGTCTTGTTCTAATTGTAATCCTTGTTTAAGTTCTGGCACTAGTTTTAAGTCTAGATCGGCTCTGGTTGTGGAACTGGTTGCAGTTGTAGCTTTGATGCCAGTTCTAGTTTGGGTTCTAGTAATGTACCGTAAGGAAACAAACTTGATCTGGCTAAGCTGCCTCTTGAGAACTTTATGGATTCGAACCCTGTTTAACATAGCCAATCAGAAACAGGAATTTTAGGGCTGGGATGAGGTTCTAGTTGTTTACACAAGGGTATGCTAAAAAATTGTGATTCTTACCCTGAACCTTCGGTCATATTTCACTACAACATCGGCAAAGTCGATCCTCTCCCTGCGGCCAACGAACTGCCTGATCTCGGGATGGTTGTCAGTGCCGATATAGTCGCCAACGAAGTTCCTGTTGATGCTGTTCCTGCGGCGTTCCTTCTTGTTCAGCAGGACGTCTGAGGCTGGAAGAACCAAAACATCATTCAGCACACAAACTCAAATCACTCTGACCCGCCGATGGAAGAATGTCTTACCTTCTTCCCTCATCTTGACATACTTGCGGACGGCAATATGTTTACGCCATGCCTTCTGGATGACCCGAGCATAGCCATTATACTTCCGCTCCCGCATCTCCTCCAACAGAAAAAGCTGCAGAAACAAAATGAAACCAAACTAAAGACAGATGCTGACTGGGAACTAGAACATCCAGATGCACATGGTGATTAATTCATGGTATATTCAGCAAGGACAGTCAGCTGGGTTGCAAACAACCAGTATTCATTTTAAAATTTTGTTAAATCCTGGTTCAACCGTAAACTATGTTGTATCAAACATTAAAACTACCTTCAGACAAATGTAGATTACATTTTTTAAAATATATATATATATATATACTGTATATATTGGGCTTTTTAGCCTTTATGTTAAAGCAGTAGAGACAGACAGGAAGGGGGGGAGAAGAATGGGGCAAGACCTGCAGCAAAGGGTCGTGAGCGGGAGTCAAACCCACAACCGCTGAGTCGGGGAACTATAGGCCCTGTTCATGGGTCGCCCGCTCAACTAGATGAGCTATAGGGGCGCCCAAATACAGATTACATTTGAACCTCAGCTTAGGTTTTACTCTAAACTTGGAATACATTTATTTCACCTAAACTTTAACCTCCAGTTTAAACTGTGATTCAGTAGAACTTTACACTGACACTAGAGGAGGCTTAACTTTTCAAATGTGGTTTTTAAAGTTTCCAGTGGGATAACCCACTTCTTGAGGATTTCGTACCGACTCTGGAGCTTTGACGAAGACTTTGGTCTTTCCCAGCTGGAACTGGTCTTGGTCCATGTGGACAGAGTTGAGGAGGTGCAGGACTCCCTGACGCTCCTCCCCCCTCCAGCTAGGCCAGGTCTCTTTGGTCAGGATGGCATACCTGAAGAGCAAAAATCTCCATTAGAATGCTAGCAGCAGGATGCTGTGCACATTCTCACCGTATTCAACCTCTGACCTCTGCAGGAACTTGTTGAAGACCCGTCTGTAGGCATATCCAGCTCGGCGGACTCTGATGTTTTCTCGGAGACCCAGGTACTCCACCTGATGTCGGACTCGGTTCTCCTCCCAGTCTCGGGGCCGTTTGGTCTCATTAGGTTTGATGCAGCGGATGTAGTGGGGGGTGCATTTCATCAGGGTCTGCACCAGAGTGTTGGCTTGTTTCTACAGAGGAGGGAACAGTTTTACCTGTCTGGTTTGTTCAGTTGAAAAGATTTATCATCTTTAAAAAAAAAATCATGAAAATTAGCCCACTTATCAGCCAGAAAAAACAAAGAATCATCAGATTTTTCTGATGGGCCTTGAACATACCATCTGTGACATGTGGTTCCATCGGGAACATAAGTCCACAGTTTACAGGTTAGTGATAGTGGAGTTTTAATGTTTTTCTCTCACCTTAATCTTACTGCTGGCAGTGCTTGGTCGGCCTCTTTTCTCCGCCTCTAGATTCTCGGGGAACAGCGCTCTGATGAATGGACTGACCACAAACACATCACATACACAAATTATCATGGGGTCATCACACACAACATTCCACACCTTAAAGAGCTCGAGGTCAGACACTTTAAAGTGTCTGCTTTAGTGAAAATGGCGACACAAGGCATCACATATTACTGCTTTCCACGACCAACAGTGTGGAGTCCTCAAAGAGACACCAAGCAAGGAGACAAACACACACTGAGACTCACAACTCGCTGCTCTGCATCAGCTCGATGATGTCATTGAACAGCACGTCTCTGTTCCGCTCACAGAATCCGCTGACATCATATGACACCTGGACACAGACAGGTATACACGTGGTGAGCAACAGACAGATGTACAGGTCAACAGATATACAGATGTGAAGATTACAGGCATGCATGAATTATATGATACTGCTGTGCATGGATTTCAGGAATGCAGATGTACATGTGTGCAGGTATGCAGGTGTACTGGTGTACAGATATACTGGTTTACAGGTGTATAGGTATGCAGAGCACCTTGCCGGCGTAGTGGTGGACGATGAATCCTCTGTTCCAGCTGCTGAAGTGTTCATGCGATCCGATCTGTCCCTGCAGTTTCTGCAGCAGCGTCTGATCTGCCCCCTCACCTTTAGCGTGCATCGTGGCGCAAACGTCGTCCAGGATGCTCATGATCCCAGGAGGACTCTGGAAAATGATCACATCTGATAAATCCAAATGAACTTTACCATCACATCTAAATACCTCCTCCACCTCTGGCTCTGTGGATCTGGGTTCTGTTTAAGGTGAATGTGTGGAATGAATTTAAAGAGACACTTATTAACACGCTCCTCCTTTGTCACACGTTCTGAGTTCTGCTCTGTGATTGACTGACTCACCAGTTTGGACTCGATGAGGTCACAGACCACCTTGTTGTTAAAGTATTCGATGGGCTTCCAGCTGATTCCCTCCTGAACATATTCTTCCTGCAAAGAGACATCACAAACAGACTCCTGATTTATCCTTAATTACATTAATTTATTCACATTTAAATAATGTTTATCACATTTGGGAGGAAACTGGAAAAAAATTTGGTCCTCGCATTGAACAACAGAAGAAGAAATTTCATGTCCCAGAGAGAATCAAGATAAAATATCTTTAAAAAACATTTGTGATTTATGAAATCAAGGAAACATAAAATAAAACAGCTGGGTATCTTGTAAAGTCCAAACCCTCCAAATGTTCCCACCGACCAAATCATGTGTTGCTGAATTTGGAAATTAAGTTAAATCGATCCGTCTAATCAATAATCAGTTTGTCTACTTTAAAGTTATTTAAAAGATGAATGGAACATTTACAGATTTATTCTAATTCAGTTATTCTGTCTTTGTTCTGCTGTAGTTTTGTACCAGCGTACGTTTCGGTCTATTCTATGATATAAAGGACGTCTGATTCAGGCTGTGTCACCTGTGTCCCAGGTGTGTTTGTGTTCTTGATAAAGTTTGTTCAAAGTTACCTGTTCAGCCTTCAGGGTGAGCTCAATGAAAATCTGCTGCAGCTTCTCATTGACGAAGTTGATGCAAAACTGCTCAAAGCCGTTTTTCTGAAAATAAAAAAAATGTTATCGTAAATAATCTGATAGGGCAGCCAGTTAACCGATCAATCAGTCAACCCGTCAACCAATCAGGTTGTTACTAGAGGTCATAGACCAGGTGATAGGCAGCACCTGCTTCCATCAGCTGGGAGCAAAGTTCACACTGATTTCATGGATGAATGTTACTAAAGTCAGTCAGTCCAGCTTTATTACTGAGATTCTTGGATGTCTTTCACTCCTTCGTATGTCCACCTTTATTTCTGGTAACAAACTCAATCTTTGTCAGCATGGAGGACACCAGAGTTCTCTCATTTCTGCTCACATGTTCTCACATTCTTCACACACACTGTTTGGAGTTGTGTTGCTCTACCTTTCTCTTTAAAGTACCACAAAGGTGTTCTATTGGATTCGGGTCAGGACGCAAATTCTCCAAGTCATAGTTTTTACTTTGGTCTTTTGTAGAACCTCTTGTGTGATGTTGCTCTCTGGATGGTTCTCATGCTGGAATATTCCTCTTCTTCAAGCTTTTGCAGACAGGAAGTCATCTTGTCTGCCAGTATTTTGGTTTATACACAGACATTCATGGTGCCTCTATACATGTTATCTCTCCAACACCTTTTGCACTCATGCAGCTTCATATCATCACACTTCCACCTCCATGCTTCACTGTCAGGACTGTGCATTCACTGTAGTCGTCCTGGTCAGGTTCACACCGAACATGCTGGACTCCATCTGACCCCAACAAATTTATCTTGGTCTCATCTGACCTAAGAATGTTCTCCTAACATTCATCAGGTTTGTTTCTACGTACTTCAGTGAACTTTCATCTTGAAGTTTTGTACTTAGGTTTTTTTTCTTGTCCTCTGTCCATAAAGGCTGATGTTTTGTTGATGTTGAAGTATCTTTCATAAAGTCTAAGCTTCACAGAACCTCTGATTTCCACTGATAACCCCTGTGTCAAGTCTGAAGCAGCTGCCGTCTGTTTTTCACAGCAGATTGAGGAAGTTGTTCACTGTCTGTGGAGTCATTTTAGGAGAACCACCACTGCAGCTCTGATTAGTGGTACTATGGATCCTTCTATACCTCCTGATCACTGCTGACACGGTGTTTCACTGATATTCAGTTGCTCACTGATCTTCCTGGATCCTTTTCCATCATTGTGAAGTCTCACAGTCAGATTTTTCAGTTCCTCTGTTCAGTTACTTTCCATGTGGAGCCCTGATGCAGATATGCAGATAGACGCAGCCCATAGGTCCAAAACTGAGAAAGTTCTGCTGTTCACAGCTCATTTTAGAACCATGTTTATGCAGTTAGAGTGATTGGAAGTCACAGGTGGATGCAGTTTAGTTTCATTGATCACAGCTGGATTCACTTTGATTCACCTGTTTTCTACTTTGGAGCCTGACAGTATAATCTTTGTAAAGTGTTTTCTTTCTTCTGGTAGATCAGGACAGTTCTAGACTTTGGGGACTAAACTTTATGACATAGATTAGAGGTTCAGAGTAAATTCAGGTTTATGTATCAGGAACATTAAGGTGTGTTTGTACCTGGAAGATCTCAAAGCCGTAAATGTCAAGGACTCCGATGTTGAGGTCCTCCTGGTCCTTCTGCATGGCTTTATTGATGCACTGACAGAGGAAGAAGAAACTGAGTTAACAGATGAGTTACACCTACAGAGAGACTGAAACAGAGTTAAAGTGGCTGCCGGGACTGACATCGACGAGGAAGTCGAAGAGTCGGGTGTACAGCGCTTTGGACAGGGCGTCCCTGGAGAAACAGGCCTGCTCGGTGTTCAGCGTGACGGAGATGGACTCTGTCTTCCCGCCCCACTTACTGTCCATCACCCTGCTGGTCAGCTTACTGCAGAGACCGTCCTGAGGGATTCCCAGCAGGAAGGACGGGAACGCCAGGACTGATGGACGAGACACAGGTGGACATGAAGAATTATCTGTTCAGTATTCACAGTTTCACTCAATTACACACACAGTCTAGATACTCTTTCACAACTGTACACACACATTTCTAAATAGTATTGCTGTAATAATACCTCTATAATACTGGTGTGACTGCTGGATACAGTGAGTCAGCTGTGAGCAGGAAACTGAAACCAGACAGATTCTTTATGGAGCTCTGAACTGTCTTCTTCTTCGTTTTTTAAGAGGATTTGTGTAGGTTTATTGAGATGTACATCAGTGATGATGATCTCCTCAGGTGGTGGGTGTCACTCTGAATCTGAACATATGAGTTTCATGTGTATGAGTTCACATCTGACAGAGTACTGAGCTTGAGAAGGACGACGATGTTTAACTCACAGAGCTTCAGTCAGTTTCTGAGAGTTTTACAGGACCTGAGCTGAGTCACTCCATAAACATGGGTTCATATCTTTCCTGTGTGCAGCGTACAGTGGATTGTGTAATGCAGGTTGTGTAATGTAGGTTGTCTCTTACAGTCCTGGCTTTCGACCACAGCGTAGTTGTTTTCCTCTCTGAAGCTGATGTTCCCCAGATGAAGAATTCCTGCAACAAGTTGAAGAACCGAATCCTGATCCTCCACAGACAGACCCACAACCGACATCGCTCCCTGACACACAAACAGTTCAACACACGGACAGTTTTACACTTTGCTGCTTCATTAGTGTGTTAAAGTGACACATTCTGTCATTCAGACCAAACAAACCTCCCACACTGTTTACTATTATATACATGCAGGTATCGACAGGTACAGGTGAGTACAGGTACCAGAGTATCGGAGAACTCCTTCTTGTCATTGACGTCCTCCACCGTGTAGGTTCCTGATTGGTTGAGGTAGTAGTAGTAGTCGGGGGTTGTGACCCCAAGGTTCTCCCTCTGTTCCCCACTGGCCCCCTCCAACAGCTGGGGACAGAGGTTATGAGAAAGGTCAGAAGTCGCTGAGAGGGCCACCGCTTTAGCTCACCTGGTTGAGCTGGTGACCCATGTACAGGGGCTATAGTCCCCGATGCAGCCGCCATGGGTTTAATTCCCACTCATGGCCCTTTGCTGCTTTCCCCCTATCCTCTCCTCCCCCACTTTCCTGTCTCTCTCAACTGTCCTGTCTAATAAAGGCAAAACGGCTAAAAAAATAACTTAAAAAAAAAGTCGCTGAAAGGTAACGGGGAGGTCAAAGGTCACAAAGAAGCCACTGAAAGGTCACTAAGAGGGGGCACCCCGGCAGCTCCACCGGATAAGAGGGCATTCCATGAACAGGGTCTATAGTCCCCGACAGAGCGGTTGTAAGTTCAAATCCCGCTCACAGCCCTTTTAGAATTTACAATTTCATTTAGCTTCTATCCAAAGCAACACACATCTGAGAGTAGATCACATTCACACACCAATGGCGACAGAGCTGCCATGCAAGGTGCCTGCCTGCCATCGAGAGCAACTTCAGGGTCAGTGTGTTGCCCAAGGACACAACAACTGGAGGGGCGGGGGATCGAACCACCAACCTTGTGATTAGAGGAGAACCTGCCTCATGCTGCAGGTCTCTCCCCATTCTTCTCCCCCCTTTCCTGTCTCTCTCCACTGCTCTACTAAAAATAATAAAGGCAATAAATAAATTTATATAAAAAAAGGTCACTGAGAGGTCACTGAGAGGGGAGAAGTCACACGGGCCAGAGAGAGGCTGCAGAGGTCAAAGGTTAAAGGTACAACACATGTTGCAGTACTTGTAGTGCATGCCATAGAGTAGTATTTGATACCTAGTAGTACCAGGCAGTAGATGTAGTACATGCTGCAGTACTTATTGCAGTACCTGGTAGTAGATGTGGAAGTTTCTCTCTCCTTGATTCTGAGACACAACTCGACTTTTCTCCAGCAAGAAGTTGGAGATTTTTCCTCCATCAGGAGCTCCTCCTCGGCTGAACTGGATCTCAAAGTACTTCCCCTGAAACAAACACAGAACATCTGTGTAGTACTTCAAATAGTATCTCTGGTACTGTACACCTGAGCAACATGTAGTACTTCAAACAGTGTCTTGCATTTTTACATCCAAGTAACATGTAGTGTTTCTTATAGTATTTCTACTCACAAATCTGCTGGAGTTGTTGTTGCGAACAGTTTTAGCGTTTCCGAAGGCCTCCAGCAGAGGGTTGGACTGCAGGATGATGTCTTTAACATGCTGTGGAGGAACAACAGCGGTAAGCATGAAGATGGCAGAGAAAACAGCAGTAACCATTGAGACAGCAGTGACAGGCATAGTAACCATGGAGACGGCGGCGACAACAGCAGTAACCATGGACACCTATGTACTGATCAGTATTCTAAATTCTTAACTGTAATCTGAGTACTGAGCTAAGTAATGTGAATATTGACCTGTAATCCAAGCACTCACCTGTGTAATCTGAGTACTCACCTAATCTGATTACTCACCTGTAATATGCACACTGATCAGTGTACTGTAAGTACTGATCTGTAATTTGAATACAGATCTGAATAATCAGAGCACTTTCCTGCGTAATCTAAGTACTCTTCTGTGTAATCTGAGTGCTCTCCTGTCAACTCTAAGTAGTGAAAGCGTAATCTGAGTACTCTGCTGTGTACTCGGACAACTGACCTGTGTAATCTGAGTACTGACCTGTGTAATCTGAGTACTGACCTGTACTTTGTCTCCTCCCCCTGACACCTTGGACACGTAGCTCATGATGTATTTGGCAGCGACAGTTTTTCCAGCTCCGCTCTCACCGCTGACAGAACACATGTCAACATACGTGTTACATTGCATACGTTTAGGCGTGTTTGCGTGTCAGTTGTGTTGCGGCTGTGAAGTCCTGCCTACCTGATGATGACACACTGATTCTCGCTGTCAATCATCATGTTCCTGTACATGTTGTCAGCCAGAGCGTAGATGTGGGGGGGGTTCTCATACTGAGCCTGGGGGGCGGAGACAGACACACAATCACACTGTGTTACTGTGTGTGTTACTGTGTGTTACTGTGTGTGTTACTGTGTGTGTTACTGTATGTGTTAGTGTGTGTGTTACTGTGTGTTACTGTGTGTGTTACTGTGTGTGTTACTCTGTGTGTTACTGTGTGTGTTGCTGTGTTATTGTGTGTGTCTTACTGTGTAAGTGTGTTTGTGAGTTTGCTTGTTTGTGTTTATGCTTGTTAGTGTCTGTCTGTCTGTCTTACTGCTCCCTGGTACAGCTCCACTTCTCTCTCAGTAAAATACGGCAGCTGTTTGAATGGATTCACTGAGATCAGCACTGGACCAATGTAGGTCTGACCCCACTGGGTCAAGGACTAGAACCAGAACCAGAATCTTAGCCAGGTCTCATTCACAAGACCATGAAGAAGAAACAACAACAACAACAAAACATATGACAAAACATATACATACATATATCACAACAAATAAATATAGAAATGTAACAATAAGGATACGAAGATGTAGTCGTCCATGTATCTCTTCTTCAGGTTCTCTGTGATGGCGTCTTCGTTGATCTTTGACAGGAGAACCATGTCGTCCACTCCGCTCACCTTCACATTCTGAGCCTGCCAATGGTAACGCTCCTTACT